CTCTCTCCCTCTTTCTCTCTCTCTCCCTCCCTCCCTCCCTCCCTCCCTTCCTCCCTCCCTCGCTCCCTCCCCCCCTCAGTATGTGTGTATGTCCGGTTTTGCCCAAATTCTTTGTGTGCCTGCTTGCCTGTGTGCCTGTCTGTCTCTGAATGGCCTTAAACTTCTAACCTCCCTGCCTCTACCTCCCGAGGAATGGGATTACAGGCATGCTGGGGTTGGAACCTAGGACTCTGCATTCTAGGAAAGTCTCTGCCAACCTAGCTACATGCTCGGAAGCAGTGACTCTAGGTTCTGATGCCGTGGATTTCCAGCCTGGGTCTGTAACACTGCCCAAGTAGCTTCGCCTCTCTGCACCTCCATGTCCTCAGCTGTCCTGTAGGAGAATAGTGCCTGTTATTTGCCATTGTCCTCATCACTCCTTGCATCGCCCAGTGCAGAGCACAATACAAGGGCCTCATTTTCAGTCTATAACCATTTTCAATCTTTCTTTTTGTCGTTTCTGCTCCAGCTTCATGCTTCTTTCACATTATTTTCTTTATCTTCTCTGCTTCTTCCTTTTCCACCCTGTCCGTATACACACACCTAGTTAATTTCTTTTTCATTTACTTATTTACTTATTGTTGTGGTGCTAATGGTGGGATGCAGGGCCTTACACATGCTTGGCAGGGGCTCTACCCCTGAACCACACCTCAGCCCCTCAATGGAAGGTTCTAGGCTCTACCACTAAGGCATGCCCTGAGCCCTTGGTTTTTTGAGATATGGCCTTGCTGTATTTCAGTTCACAGTCAAACTCACAATTCTGCTTCAGCCTCCTGAGTGCTGTTATTACAGGTGTAAGTTGTCACACTCTCTTTCTGTTTCTTACCCTCCCCTTGTCTCTCTGTTGCTGTTGTTGTCTGTAACACCTACCCTTTCCCTCCATCTGGGCCTTGAACAGTACCTCTCCATTTTACTACAGGATCGCAGAAGTCGCTGGCTACAGCCCTGATGACCTGATTGGCTGTTCTGCCTACGAATACATCCATGCACTGGACTCTGATGCAGTCAGCAGGAGCATCCATACTTGTAGGTGACCAACATGTCCCCAGGCCAGAGGCAGCTGCTGCATGATCCCACCTAACAGCAATCCCCAATCTCTTGAACAGAAAGCCCAGGGTGTTGTGAGATTCCTGCCCTCCGGAACCCCAAATGCTAGGGCCTGCATTTTTGTCTTCTATGACCTCTCCTCCCTAATTCCAGCTTCCTGAGCTTTCTGTCCTCAGGTGTCTCTGCTAAGACACTGACCCCTATCCATCCTTTCCCCAGTGCTGAGCAAGGGCCAGGCAGTAACGGGACAGTATCGCTTTCTGGCCCGGACTGGAGGCTACCTGTGGACTCAGACTCAGGCTACAGTGGTGTCAGGGGGACGGGGCCCCCAGTCAGAAAGTATCATCTGTGTCCACTTCCTGATCAGGTGAGCAGAGGGTGTAATGTGTATAGAGGGATGCATTGGCAGACCTGTGCTTTGTGCGTGTATAAGAAAGTGTACATGTGTGCCTATGTGGAACGCGTATGGCCATTTGAATGCACGTGTGCCTCTGTGTGTTCTTTTTTAGTTTTCTTTTTCAAGACAGGGTTTCTCTAAGTGACCTTGACTGTCTTAGAACTCTATGTAGACCAGGCTGGCCTCAGACTCACAGAGATATACCTACCTCTGCTTCCCAAATGTTAGGATTAAAGGTATGCACCACCAGGGCCCCTTGCTAATTTTTTAAAAAAAATTATTGGTGGTAGATCAATGGGTTGAAGAGATGAGTTAGCAGATAAGAGCACTGGCTGTTCTTCCAAAGGACCTGGGTTCAATTCCCAGCACCTACATGGTGGCTCACACCCATCTGCAACTCCAGTCCCAGAGGATCAGGCATCTTCCTCTGTGGGTGCTGCACATCCATGGTGCACAGTCATATAGGCAGGCAAAAATCCATACACATATAAATAAATAAATATTTATTTTGCTGGGTGGTGGTGGCGGCAGCACACACCTTTAATCCCTGCACTCAAGAGACAAAGACAGGCAGATCTCAGTGAGTTTAGGCCAGCCTGGTCTACAGAGCGAGTTCCAGGACAGCCAGGGCTGTTACACAGAGAAACCCTATCTCAAAAAAAAAAATTTGTTGGTGTTTTGAGACAGGTTCTCATGTAGGCCAAGTTGGTCTTAAACTCACAGCAATCCTCCTGCCTCAGGCTCTCGAGTGCTGACTAGGTGGTGACCAACAGTTCCTTTCTCATGGTGACTAGTGGTCTGGAGAATGAATCAGCCACTGTTTGTTTATCTGTGTGCCAGCTGGGGGACTTTGGGCTGTGTCCTGTTTGGGGGGTTATACAAACAGCCGCTATAAACATTCTCAAGTGGGATCTTGTGAGAATGAACATTTTCATTTCTCCTGGGTAAGCATCTAGGAGGGGAATGCGGAGGTCATATGTTTCCATGAAAACTGAACTTTCTAAGGAACTGAAAATTCTTCTCACAGTGCTGTGCCATTCTGCCTTCCCTCCAGCAGAGTATGTGAACCCCAGTGCTCCCCATCCTTGCCACATGTCATGTTGCTGCATATTTTCACTTTAGGAATTCAAATTGCTAAAGTCTGGAGTAGAGTGCCTGCTTGGAATGGCCCAGTGAGGGGCTGGGGAAATGGCAAGGGTTGGGGAGTAGGAGCTGAGCTCCTGCATAGAATCTCTCAGAACAGCTGGAGATTTGGCTCAGGGGTAGAGCCCCTGCCTAGAATCCCCCAGTGAGAGGCTGGGGGTGTGGCTCAGTGGAAGAGCCCCTGCCTAGAATCCCCCAGTGAGGGGCTGGGGTGTGGCTCAGTGGTAGTGTCCCTCCCTAGAGAACACCCGTCCAGAGACATTCAGTCACACGTTTAAAGTTACACAGTCAGAAATGGCAGAGCTGAGATTTGAACCCAACATGCTAGCTTCAGAGTTCTTGTTCTCAACCTCTGTGTAGTGATGCTTAACTGAGAGATGTCTGTGGATTGAATAAGTGAATGAGCTCCATGCAGTCTGCATGCATATACATGACACAAAGTGCATAGAGGTTTTTGTGAGTGTCCTTTTCCTCCAAATACAGGTATTCCTCTATGTCTGTGCGTACCAAGTGTGTGCCCGTGTCACTATGTACATTCTGTCTTTCAGGGGGATAAAGCTGGCCACCTTAAATTGGTATGTTCCCAGGATAGGCTTAGTGAGGGTAGAATCATAACTTCTCCAGGAGCTGCTGGGAGCACCAGATGTACTTGCATTCTGCCCTATGGGATGCTTTTGCTAATGAAATGCAAATGAATGCATGGTCCTCAACCTCAGATCCACTCCTCCAAAGCCAATTTACCCAGCCAGCCTTAGAGTTGTCTCCAGAGCCAGAGACTGTGGGATGGGAGGTGCGGGGGACGAAAAAGGATGTATTTATAAACCTGTTCCCTTGAGGATGGAGATGTCTATGAATAGAAGCTTCTCAAATAAATGCTTATTCATAGAAATATAGCTATGAATTTTTCATATTTGGAAATGTAATGAAGAATATGGGTTTGGCTTATTTAAGTTTTTTTTTGAGATGTGGTTTTCTATAGAACATACCAACATCAAATTCACTATGTAGCTAAGACTGATCTTGAACTCCTGACCCACCTGCCTCTGCCTCCAAAGTCTTGGGATTACAGGCAGTAGCCATCAAGCCCAACAAATTCTGTTTTATTTTGTCTTGTTGAGACAGGGTCTCATGGCAGTAGCTCAAAACAACTTCTTAAACTTCCTGCCTCTCAGCCTCCCAAGTACTGGAATACGTGTTGGCTGCACCACTCCAGGCTTTAAGTTTCTTTTCAACACCACTGTAGGAGCAGCCTGGAGGAGGATTTGCCTAGCATGCATAAGGTTCTGAGTTCAGTCCCCAGCACAACAAATAGATAGATAGATAGATAGATAGATAGATAGATAGATAGATAGATAGATAGATAGATAGATCCCATTACAGATTGGGAGTAAAAGCATTTCTGAGGGGCCAAGGATGTGGCTCAGTTGGTAGGATGCTTGCCTAGCATACACAAAGCCTGGCGTTCCATCCTCGGACCCCATAACCTGAGCATGGTGGTATGTGCCTGTAAGCCCAGCACTCAGGAGTTGAAGACAGGAGAATCAGAAGTTCAAAGCCATCCCTAGCTTAGGCCAGCCTGGGCTACACGAGACTCATCTCAAAACAAGCAAAATAAATCCTGGTGAGAAAGCAGCAAATTCCCATCCCTTTAACTCCTAGATGATAATACCTCTGTAGGAAGACATGGAAGAGCAGCCACCTGGGCAGGAAGGTGGGCAAGGACACTCTCTGACTCCCACCGTTCTTTCTCCTGCTTCCCCCCTCCCCTACAGCCGGGTAGAAGAGACGGGAGTGGTGCTGTCCCTGGAACAAACGGAGCAACACACTCGCAGACCCCCTCAGCGGGGTACCTCCTCACAGAAGGGTGTCCCTGGCAACAGTCTAGGTATGGATCAAGGCCATTGTTTCCTGAGGACCCCTAGAAGAAAGGTCAAACGCATTCACGCGGCAGACAAGGCCCTGTGGGACCGTCTGCTGCCTCTCTTCCTGTCACTCGTCCACCAAACCACACTGATTTCCTCTCGGCACTCGGGGCATGCCACACTCTTTCCGTTCACCGCCTTCCCCCGTGCCGTTTCTCTGCTTAGGATGCCTTTCCTTCCAGTCCCCCTACATCCAAGAGTGAGGTGATTGCATGAGCTTCTTGTCGCCTTCTCTTCCTCCCGCTGTGGTTCCCTGTCGCTCACACTTCCCTGCTCCTTGGGGGTGAGGTGCATGCTCCAGCCAGTCTTAACACACAGGAATGCAATGGCCAGATGCTGTTTGCAGCCACTAAGCCCTTCCCCAAGGACCCTCCAAGGCTCCATAGCAATCTGATTGTGAAATGGCCTAGAATGAGGCCTTTTGGCCACTCCTCTCGAACAGTAAACACAATGGCCATCCTCACCGTCATCCTCTAGGCTGAGCACAGCAGAGCAGGGGTTGGCCCTCAGCCCTCGGTAATCCCACTATGTTCTGCTCATCCTCCAGACGCACCTGCTCCCCGGATTCTGGCCTTCCTGCACCCTCCGGCCCTGAGTGAGGCCTCCCTGGCTGCTGACCCTCGCCGTTTCTGTAGCCCAGATCTGCGCCGCCTTATGGCACCCATTCTGGATGGGCATCCCATAGCCGCCACCCCCAGCACCCCACAGGCTACGCGTCGACCCCAAAGTCCTCTTCCGGTAAGCAGTGTCACCTCCCTGAGCACACAGAACTCATTCTGCTTGGGCTTCTGACTTGAGTCTTGCTGTCCTCTGTTTTCATGTCTCAGTCTCAGAGATGAGATGGGTTTCTCTAAGACCGAAGTTACAAGGTAAGTACGGCAGCACACGCTCAAGATCCCAGTACTTGGGAAGGAGGATTGAGTTCAAGGCCAGCCTTAGCTATGTAGTGAGTTCCAGACCAGCCTGGAATGAGATCCTGTTCTAGTTTTATTTCTGTTGCTGTGATAAACTGTCCTGACAAAGGGAGGTGGAAAGACGGCTCAGTGGTTAAGAGCGCTTGCTCTTGCAGAGCACCAGAGTTTGGGTCCCAGCATCCACATTGGATGGCTCACAACCACCTGTAATTCCAACTCAAGAGAATCCAGCAACCTCTTCTGAACTCTGGGCATCTGCATTCATGTGCAACTCAGGGGGAAAAGGGTTTATTTTGACTCGTAATTACAGGTTTTATTTTATCACTGCAGGGAAGACACAATGACAGGAGCTTGAGACAATAGGTCATATCACATCTAGAGTGGGGAGCAAAGAGAAATGAATGGATGTATGCTCTCTTGTGTGCAGCATCATTTCCCCATGCTTACGCAGCTCAGGACCCCTAAGTAGGGAATGGTGTCTGCCACCCACAGTGGGCTGGGTCTTCTCACATCAATTAAGTTTAAATTGTGTGTGTGTGTGTGTGTGTGTGTGTGTGTGTTTGTTTGTCTACATGTATATGTATGTGTACCACATGTGTGCCTGGTTCCTGTGGTAGCCAGAGAGGGCATCAGAAGCCCCAAAACTGGAATTATTGGATAGTTTTGAGCCACCATGTGGATGTTCAGAATCAAACTTGGATCCTCTGGAAAAGCAACAAATTGTCTTTCTTTTCTTTTCTTTTTCTTGTTGTGGTTTTGTTTTGTTTTGGTTTTGGTTTTTGGGTTTTTTGACAGTTTCTTTATATAATAGTCCTGGCTATACTGGAACTCACTCTGTAGACCAGGCTGGCCTCGAACTCAGTTATCTGCCTGCCTCTGCCTCCTAAAGGCTTGCACCACCATCACCCTGCGCAACAAATTTTCTTAACCACCAAGCAATTTCTCCAGCCCCTACCTCAATTAACTAATTAAGACAATCACCCACAGACATCTCCACAGGCCAGTTCAACATAGACAATCCCTCTTTCTAGGTGATAGTAGGTTGTGGCAAATTGACAAAGCTAACCATCACAGAACCTGCCTCAAAATGATAGATAGATGATAGATAGATAGATAGATAGATAGATAGATAGATAGATAGATAGATAGATAGATAGAAGATAGATAGATAGATAGATAGATAGATAGATAGATAGATAGAACCAAGAATAATGAGACACGCCTGTAATCCCAGAATTTAGGAACTGGAGGCAGGAAGAGCCTAAATTCTAAACCCTTCCCAGCTACATTATGTCTCAGAAAAACAAAGGCAAAAAATAAAACAACAACAAAAATAAGCAAACAAAACCACCTTTGTTTGTATTGCTCTTTGATCCCTGCAAGCTCCAGTTTAAAAACTCCTACCTCCATGCCAAGATCTTAATTGTGAACACTTCCAGACTCAATCTCTGGTGTTTCTGCTCTCCTTCCCTCCAGGCTGATCTCCCAGATCAGTTGCTTGGGGGCTTAGAGAATGCATACAGACTCTCTACTGCCAGGAAAAACAAGACTGTGGAGAAAGATCTAGATAAAGCTCAGGTGAGTTACTGACTTAGAGGAGTCAGTTTATCTGACTTTACAAAAGGGTGATGGGATGGATGGGTGGGTGAATGGTGGATGGATGGATGGATGGATGGATGGATGGATGGTGGATGGATGGATGGATGGTGGATGGATGGATGGTGGATGGATGGATGGATGGTGGATGGATGGTGGATGGATGGATGGATGGATGGATGGATGAGTAGATAGAATGATTGATAGACAATGGAATAGATAGACCATTGTTTCATTGACCAGGGATGGGAAAGGGAAGACAGAAGGACAGGCAAGGGAAGAGAGAGAGACAGAAAAAAATAGATAATGACAGAAACAGATAAGGTAAGAGAGAGAGACAGAGGCAGAGGAACAGAAAAACAGGCATCCAGATAGAGACAGAGACAACGAAAGACAGTGAGAGAGCGAAGACACTTGGAGAGACACAGAGACAAAGAAGGGGAAAGATGGAAGGAGACAGACAGGGAGAGGGACAAATGAAGGATACAAAGACAGAGAGACAGGGGTTAAGAAGAGACAGATGAAGGGGAGAGAGAGTGAGAAGAGACAGAGACAAAGAAATATATACAGAGAGATAGGAAGAGAGAGAGAGACAAAGAAGGGAGAGATAGAAAGGCAGGACTACTGGCAGAGCGGGAGAGACGTGGTCAAAAACACAAAGACACAGAAAGAGAGACACACAGAGACAGTGACACAAATGACAGCTGCCACAGCTGTCATGCCCTCCAGCTAAACAGGAAGGACACACAGCATCCTGTTCTTTTAAACCCAGGCCAACTGATTGATCTCTGTGGAAGGGGACTGTGCCCAAGGAGAATCATTGAAGCACCTTAGGAACTGACTAGCACACAGTCTTTGTACCCATTTGAGAGAGAGGGCAGGAAAAACAGCTCTTCAGGCGGACCACTCAGAGGACCCTCCCCCTGCTCCACCCCAGGCCGTAGCCCCTGTTATAAACTCCCTCCTGCCCCCTTACAGGACCCTGACACTCTGGACTTGGAGATGCTGGCTCCCTACATCTCCATGGATGATGACTTCCAGCTCAACTCCAGTGAGCAATTGCCCAGGACCCACCGCAGACCTCCTGGGATGGCCCGCAGACCCCGTGCTCGGAGCTTCCATGGCCTGTCGCCCCCCATCCCTGAGCCCTCCTTGCTGCCCCGCTGGGGGAGCGATCCACGACTGAACTGCTCCAGCCCCTCCAGGGGGGATCCCCCTACAGCCTCCCCAATGCCTGGAACTCGGAAGAGGTGAGCCACAGTGAAAGAGGGATATAACACAGGCATATAGAAGATCCCTGCCCACCCTCATGCATCAGCCCCATCCCTCAGCATGCTTCCCGTCTCCACCTCTCCAGCCAGGCCTTCCCCGCATAAGCCAGTTTTATTGCAGCCTCTGTAGCCTTTACGTGGAGCCCCCTACTGGAGCCCCCTCCTGCTCTCCCCCACTTACCCAACTCCCACTGCAGCCAGGAATCAATCACTGGGACACATTTACATATGAATTACTGACTCTTTTTGTTTTAATGGGAAGAAACTGGGGCTGGGAATATAGCTCTTCAGTAGAGAACTTGCCTAGAATTGACCAAGCACCTGCCTGAAACACCCCAGTGAGGGCCTTGGGGTGTGACTCAGTGGTAGAGCCTCTACCTAGAATCCCCCAGTCTGGATACATTCAGTCACATGTTTAAGGTTACAAAGCTCAGCCTCTCACTAGGGGATTCTAGGTGCTCAACTACTGAGTGATGACCCCAGTCCCCTCACTGATGGGTTCTAGGCAGGTCCTCTAGTGCTGACCTATATTGCCATTGTGGGGAGATGGATGGATGGATATCCGGATGGATGAATGGATGGATGGATGGATGGATGGATGGATGGATGGATGGATGGATGGATGGATGGGTGGATGGATGGATGGATGGATGGACGGACAGACGGACGGATGGTGAGATGGATGGTGATGGGTGTGAGATGGAGAAAAATTCAGTGGATGGGTCGGTGAGTAGGTAAGTGGATAAATGAATAGATAAAATATTAACAGATGAGTGAATGGTGGCTGGAGGTGAATGGGTGATTAGATGGGTGGATGAATATGCGGGTGGAGAGAAGGACAAATGGAAAGATCAGTGGATAGATGAACGGATGGGATCTTGAGAGAGTTGATTAATCAGAAGATGAATGGAAGTATAGGTGGATCACCAGATGAAAAAGAAGAAGATAGAATGATAGCTGGATGAATGAGTGGACAGATAGGTGAGCGGATGGGTGGATAGGATGAGTGGGGAAAGGATAGATGGGGGTGGGGAGAAGGTGAATGAAGGTTCATGTGTGGAAACTTAGGTCACAGTGCAGACGAATAAGAGGATGGTTGGTGGGTGGATGGGTGGATTGGTAGGCATGTATGTAAAGGACTAAACAGTTGTTTGGGAAGACCATTCGCTTCCAACAAGGGTACCAATACTTGCCCAGGTTTGTTGTATTTTGAGTCTTGCCTGTGTCTCTGCAGGGCCCTGGCTCAGAGCTCAGAGGACAAAGGGATGGAGCAGCTGGAAACAAAGCCTGCCAAGCGGTCCCCCAGCCTGGAACCTGGAAGCTTCCGATTGCCTCCCCTCAGCCTGGTAGGTCTAGGAAGTTGGGGGTTGGAGGTTCTGCTCTGAAACTAGCAGGTTTCAAACCCGTGTTTTATAGATGGGAAAACCAGAGAGGACCAGTGGCTGACTGAAAGCCAGACAGAGTATCGGAGGTCCGGCTGCAGACAGGACCTGGATCCTCTTAAGTCTGCTAATGGGCATGAAATGACTTTGCAAATACATAGCTATCACTAAGAAGAGACACAAAGTTGGTCAAGAGGAATGAGGCAGGGCTGAAGAGATGGCTCAGTGGTTAAGAACATTGTTTGCTTTTCAAAAGGTCCTGAGTTCAATTCCCAGCAACCACATGGTGACTCACAACCATCTGTAATGAGGTCTGGTACTCTCTTCTGGCCTGCAGACATACAAACAGAATATTGTATGCATAATAAATAAATATTTTTAAAAAAAAAGAGGAATGAGGCAGTTCGTCGGATGAGGAGGAATCGTCTCTGCTTCCGTGGTCCCACTCCAACATGAGACAGCCTAGGATCTGGAGTACCACTGCAGAGTTTAAAGAATAAACATTGAGTGTGGTGGCCACGCCCATAACCCCAATGCTAGAAAGACTGAGGCAGGAGGATTAGCAGATTGCGGTCAGCATGAACTACATAGTAAGATCCTGTCTCAAAAGACAAAGCAAGAGAGGCTAGAGAGATAGTTCAGTGATTAAGAGCACTGATTGTTCTTCTAGCAGACCCAGGTTCAATTCCCAGCACCCACATGTCAGCTTACAACTGTCTCTAATTCCAAGATCTGACACTCTCACGCAGACATACATGCAGATAAAACACTAATACATATAAAATAAAAATAATTTTTTAAAAAAATAGCAACAAAAGTTTTTTTAAAAATCAAGATAAACATTATTCTGCACAATGAGCAAAATCTGTTTTTTGTTTGTTTGGTTGGCTGGGTTGTTGTTTGTTTTGTTTGTTTGTTTGTTTGTTTGTTTTTGGTAAAGCCACCCTGGATTGTATGACTTCCACAATGCCTCTGTCTAACACCTCCCTATCTCCCAAAGAACTCAGTTCCAGGGTCTGCAAGAAATGTTTGCATATGAAAGATGTGAGTGATAATATCAATAGCTCTTCATTACTGTGTGCTCACCCTGGCTGCAATAAGTATCTCACAAGATTAACTTATTTATTCCTTTGAGTACGCTTTAATATTGCTTCATAATAACAAATATTGCCAGTCATGGTGGCGCAAGCCTTTAATCCTAGCACTCAGGAGGCAGAGGCAGGTGGATCTCTGTAAATTTGAGGCCAGCCAGGGCTACACAGAGAAACCCTGTCTTGAGAAATGCTTACATAAATCAATGTCATCATTATGGTGAGACAGATTACATGGAGGAAGATAAGCAGCGTGATCAGTCCGTCTCCGTGGCACACCCAAATGGGATGCTGGAAAGAAGTCAACAAGCTTGTGGATGGTGTGAGGACAGTGCAAGCGAGCCCGCGGCTGCTGCAGCATCAGGGCCAGCACTAGCCCCTAGGATTAAGGCCTAACGCCTTCCGGAGTGGGGCATAGCCAACCATAGCAGGCAAACAGCTAGAATGCCACCTTCCTCCTCCCACCTGCTAGGGTGGTCCATCATCTGAGTACAGCAGGAAAACACAGCAAAATTGCACAGCAATGGGATCAGCCTCTTGGGTCACAGAGGAAGGGAAAGGCGGGAGGACCACCCAGAGGACATCTAGAACAGTGATTTTTCCCAAAGTCTCTTGGATGACTAGTACTCACCAGACTCCAGTTAACAGCTGCACCATACTGTCTTGTCAGACAGGTGATGATGGTGGTTATGATGATGATGATGATGATGGAGCTGTTGCTGAAAACAGTGATGGTAGTGACGATGCTAATGAGAGTAATGGTGCTGATGGTGCTAATGCTGATGAGAGAGATAATACTGATGGTGATGATGCTGATGAGAGTGATAATACTGATTGATGGTGATGATGCTGATGAGAGTGATAATACTGATGGTGATGATGAGAGTGATTATGCTAATGATGGTGATGGTACTGCTGATACTAGTGATAGAAGTGATATAGGTGGGGCTGATGATGCTAAAGATCCTGTGCTGTGGTTGATGCTAATCATGAGAGTAGTGAAGCTGCTACTGATGCTGGTGATGATGTCATGGTACTGATAATGACATTGATGGTGATGCTGATGCTGATGGTGACAGCTCCGTCTCCCTAACTTCCCAGAGTTTTCTTCTGCAAGGTCGACAATTCCCGGGGAACCAGCAGGATCCAAGAACCCCACTCCTGGATTCCCATGAGGCCTTAGGTGAGTCGCAACAGCTTGGGTATACAGAACTTCAAGTCACTTCTACTCTGGATGGTTCCACAAATGATTAACAGAAGAATGGAACCATCTCAGGGGTAGGTGAGGGAGGGTAACTTAGGGTTATTTTTGCTGTGATGAAACACCATGACCAAAAGCAACCTGGAGAGGAAAGGATTTATTTCACTTCCACACTATAGTCCATCATGGAGGGAAGTCAGGGCAGGAACTCAAGCAGAGCAGGAACCTGGAGGTAGGAGCTGATGCAGAAACTGTGGAGGGTGCTGTGCTGCTTACTGGCTTGCTCCCCGTGGCTTGCCCAGCTGCTTACTTTTTTATTTTCCGTTCCTTTTCTTTTTTGAGGTTTTTTGTTTGTGTGAAACAGGTTTTGGAGCCATCAAGACTGGCCTTAAACTCTGCCTTCCAAGTGCTGGGATTAAAGGCTTGAGCCACCACCGGCCCAGGGATAGCCCCACCCACCATGGGCTGGGCCCTTCCCCATCAATCATTAATTAAGAAAATGTCCTATAGCCGGGTGGTGGCCCACACCTTTGATCCCAGCACTCAGGAGGCAGAGGCAGGTGGATTTGAGTTCAGGGCCAGTGGGGTCTACAGATCAAGTTCAGGATAACACAGAGAAACCCTGTCTCTAAAAACAAAACAAAACAAAAGAGAGAGAGAGAGAGAGAGAATGTCCTATAAGCCTTCCTAAAACCCGATCTTATGGGGGCATTTTCTCAGTTGAGGTTCTTTCCCCTCAAATGACTCTAGCTTATGTCAAGTTGACACAAAACTATCAAGTACAAAGGGTGCCATCAGGTAGCCCTTCCTTCCCTCTTCTCCTGAGTCCTGTGGAGAGAAAGAAAGACCCTAAGGAGGGTAAGAACTTACCACGGCTACCCCTTGGGGTAGGCCCAGAGAGAGCTCCACTTCGAAGCTTGACCTAATTGAAGTAACCCTACAAGGCGACTCCCAGCCATGTGGCTTCGGGACAGCTGCCATAAAGCCTCAAGTCCCTTAACTGTCAGTGGGAGCTTATGAATACAGTTCTTAATGGAGGACCTGTTTGGAGAAATGAACTTATGGAGATGCTGCATGGACAGAATCCACCCAAGAACTGTTGTATAGTAAGTTGCTCAAGGAACACCTCCCCTTGTGACTGCCGGGTGGGGCAGTGCTGGTTCTGCAGCCTTCGGCTCCTTTGTCTTTTTATGGTGATCCTACTGTGCTGCTATCAAAAGCTTTGTTTGTCTTTTTATAGTGATCTTACCTTGCAGCGCTCAAAAGCTTTGGTCACACTTGAAACTTCAAGTGAGTCCTGAGGATCAAACTCAGTGGTCTGTTCTCACCCTCCATTAGGCGGCTTTTAAGGACAGAACTCAGCCGGTCAGGGTTTGCAGCAGGAACCTATACCCTCTGAGCTATCTTGCCAGCATGCCTCCCTGCTTTTAGATGCAGGTGCATATTTAGATGGGTGCTAATTCTCTCCTGATTGGCCTTCCCTTTTTCTGCAGGACTAGCTCCCTCGCTGCTCTCTCTCTACCAGCATGAGGAAACTACCCAGCCCAGGAACCACGTCCCACCAGCGGCAGGCTTGGCCCAGGCCCACTGAGTCAGCTTTCTTCCCAGATCCCTTCTTCTACCCCAGAGAGGACTAAGCCACACTCCACACCAGCAGCTCACATCCAGGATGGGGCCTCTCTCCTCTGAGTGCCCCCCAACACCCCCGGCCAGCCTCAGTCCTACCTCAGACCCCCCAACCCTCTGCCTTCACCCATTCAGGGGCTTCTTGGATTATTTGCAGCTCAGTGACCTCTGGGAGGGGGTGCGTGACCCCCTCCACCTCCTCTCAGGACTTCTCTTGGGATTCTCCATAGTTGGTTACCTCACTATCCCTTTCTCTGACTCTGCTTTATTTGGGAGAATAAGGGTTGGAAGAATCAGGGATTTGCCTCTGATCCTGGCCCCATGGAGTTTGGACAACCATAATCACATTTTTTGTTTTTTGTGTTTGCTTTTGTTTTCCTTCTATCCACTTTACTTTATCCTTTTCACAATAACTCATTCGGGCACTCTGCATTGTACAGGGTTCGCAGCAATGTAGGACTGCGATGTCCCCCTCCTCAGTGGGTGGTAAAGGTGGGTAGACTCAGGGTCAGACCTCACCCCCAGCGACTTGTGGAGTCTCAGCCTCCCAAGCTGCCACCCAATCTGCCTGCTATTTCTGCTCCTGACTTCCTACCCTAAATAATGTCTTCATTTGTGATCTTCCTGTTTTCGGTATATCCAGCAACTTCCTCTACTCAGCAGACGCATAATCTCTGACCTTTCCTGGATCTAGAATACTTGACTCCTACCTTCACTGTTTGTAGACTGTACAACCTCTAGCCTTCCCAGGTCTTAGGCTGTAGCACTTTCCATCTTCCCCGGTTCTAGACAACAAGACCCAGGGCCTTCCTTGTATCTAGACCATGCAGCCCCTGGTCTTTCTTGGTTCTAGATTGTATGCCCTTGGGCCTTCCCTGGTTCTAGAGGCTTGTGGACTCTCTGGTTCTAGAGTTTCTACTTCCTTCTAAAATGCACAATCCATGGACTCCATATCCCTCATCCTTTCCCGTTTCTAGACTGTGAGGCCTATGGCCTTCCTTGAATCTAAACTGTGCCACCATTGGTCTCCTCTGGATCTAGGCTTATGGCCTTTGGCCTTCCTTGTTATAGACACTGTGGCCTCTGGCCTCCATGGTTCTAAACTGTGTTAATCCTGTCTTCTTCAGTTCTAGACTATGCAACCTCTAGCCTTCTCTATTCCTAGTCTGTACGTTCTCTGGTCTTTAACTGATTCTCAACTGCACACCTTATGACCCCGCTGTGGTTCTACACTGTGCCACTTTTCTGACCTTTTCTCTGGTTCTAGAGTATAGGCCCTCCAATCTTCTGTGGTTCTAGAGCTGTGGTTCTCAGTCTTCCTAATGCTACAGCCCTTTAATACAGTTACTCACATTGTGGTGACCCCAACCATGAAATTATTTTTGTTGCTACTTCATAGCTATAATTTTGCTACTGTTATGATCATGTAAATATCTGCTATACAGAATATCTGATATGCAACTCCCAAAGGGCAACGTTGAAACCTACAGGTTGAGAACTGCTACTCTAGACTATATCTGTGAACATCTTTAATTCTAGGCTATGCTGCCTCTGGTCTTCATTGGTTCCAAACTGTATGACCACTAGCCTTCTCTGACATTCCCTGGTTCTAGACTATGCTATCACTGACTTCCCGCTGACTCCAGACTGCATCACTTCCACCATGGTCTGCTACAGTTTCTTCAAACCCTTCTAATGCTAGATCTCATAGTCTTCAGCTCTTTCTTGGACTGGCTCTCACAGCCCCCAGTTGTATCTGTTTTCAAACCTCACAGTGCTTTAAAGTGTGGTTTGAATTACATCATCTGTAAGGCTTTCTGGGTCTAGAGTCTACAACCACCAGAATCCTCTTACTACAAAACTCATCCTGTAATATCCTCCGCTTCTAGACTTCTTCAAAATCCCTGCGATTCCCTGTCTTCTGTTCCCTGTCATTGCAGACCGTTTTTGTGTCGTGTGTGTGTGGTATTGAGGATTAAATCCAGGACTTTGCACCTGTTAATCTGCTCACCTCTGCCTCTCAAGTGCTGGGATTAAAGGTGTGCACCACCACCACCCGGCTCCCTATTTTATTTCTTGTTTGCTTTTTGTTTTTTTGTTTTGTTTTGGTTTGTTTTGGTTTTGGGTTTTTTTTTGTTTGTTTGTTTGTTTGTTTTTCGAGACCAGGTTTCTCTGTGTAACAGTCCTAGCTGTCCAGGAACTAGGTCTTGTAGACCAGGCTGGCCTTGAACTCACAGGGATTCACCTGCCTCTGCATCCCAAGTGCTGGGATTAAGGGCGTGAACCACCACTGCCTCATTTCTTGTTTTGAGACGTGACCTCGTTCAAAAGCTCAGACTAACCTTGAACTCACTCTCTAAACCTAGGTAGGCCTTGAACTCACGTTCCTTCTGCCTAAGCCTCCCAAGTGTCTAGGAATTTGAGGCCTTTGAGACTGAGTTCAGTTGACCTTATAATTACGATCCCTTCTTGTTTCTGGAGACCACAACTCCAAACTTCTGGTAGGTACCACCAGTCTTTCTCATCTGTAAGATATTTTGTTTCAAATCCAAATCTCATTTCTAGATCATTTTGGTTCCAAACCTCATAATGCCTTCTTATTTCTCCCCAAGTTTCTGCACGCAAGAATTCAAGAACTGCTTTCCCCCAGTAAAGAAGGGTAAAGCGAATTTTATGTCTTGAACTTAGAGCTGGCTGTTCGGAGCCAGACACCATATGCCCAATCTCTTGGGTTCTAGATTTCACTACCTCCACCATCCCCAGGTTTTAGACTATGCAAACTCTAGACTTGAAACTTCCAGAATTCCCTGATCTCAGATAACTGAGCTTCAAATATCAAGCCAGGGGGTGATGGTACACACCTTTAATCTCAGTCCTTGGGAGGTAGAGACAGGCAGACCTCTCTGAGTTGAATCCAGACTGGTATACAAAGTGAGTTCCAGGACAGCTAGGGCTACTCAGAGAAGCCCTGTCTTGAAAAACCAAAACAACACAAAGCAACAACAAAAGAAAAACCTGGATTTTGTTATTGTTTTGACAGTGTCTCAAAACTCAACATTAAATTGCCAAGTGGTCAAGAATGACCTCAACCACCTCCCAAGTGCAGGGATTACACTCACGCCTGGTTGTGTGTGGTGCCAGGGATTGAACCCCGAATATCATGCATGCTAGGCAAGTACTCTACCAACTGAGCCACACTCAGCCTCTGTAGATGTCTTCTGATTCTAGACCTTATGCCGTGAGTTCCTTTGGTTCTAGATGCCACAGTTGCCCAGTCCTCCTGACTTCAGATCGTATGACTCAAATTAACCTGAATCTAGAACACATCTTGAAAATATCAGCTGATAATGCCTTGCATTATATATTTCTCTAGTTCTAAACCTTAGATACCAACTCTTTTTCATTCTAGATTGTAAGATCCCAAAAATCTCTGAATTCTAGAATTTAGTTTTTGAGTTCTTGGGGGTGGCAGGATTTCACGTAGCTCAGGATGGCCTCCAACTCACTACATAGGCAAGGCTGACCTTGAACTTCTGATCCTCTATCCTCCTCAACGTCTCAAATGCTGGGCTTACATGTGTGCACCATCACACTCACCTTATGTGGTGCCAGGGATGAAACCCAGCTGTGTATGCATGACGAGCAAGCCCTCTACCAGCTGAGACACATGCCCTCCCCCAGGCCTTTTCTAATTCTACCATTACTCATAAATCACTGGGCTAGGCCTCTGGCTTCTGATCCTACTTCTTTGGTTTCTAGAACGCCACCTCCAAATGGGCTTGTTGTAGAATGTTTCTTGTAGAATCTAGAATTCACTCTGAGGTTTTCTTGGTCCAAGACCTCATATCCCTTACTCTTTAGGTCCAAATCTAATCTTCTAGCTCTGTTCTGGGCTTCCTGGCCCTCGTTGTACCTGTCCCAGTTCTTCCCTTAAATCTCAAGTCTTCCCATTCCAGATCCGATGCTCATGAACTTCATGCTCAAGGCCCTCCTATTTCATAGCCCTAAAAATTCTCTACCCTAGCATCTCTTTCACTCCTCACCCCAAGCCTCCAGGTATGCTCTTAACTTTTCTCCAGGCCTCTAAAGACCTGGGCCTCCCTCCTCTCCTTAGGGGAATCCATAATCCAGCCGCACGGGCACATGCACAGCCCTATCTGCTTATCTTGGGGTGGGGAGAGAGGGCAGGACCCCTCAGCTATCTCCCACCAGCTATGCACCCTCCTTACTCGCAGCTCCCTTTCTACAATGGTGCTACTCTTGGTCTTCCACAGAAAAAGGCTCCCCTCTCTGTCCCATTCATGACTCTATGGAAGGCGACACTCAATCTGTCTTATCAAGAGGTGGCCTGTCCAGGTGCTACAGGGGAAAGGGTGTGAACCTTCTCTCCTATCATGGGTTTTGTGGGTTCTCAGTGGAAGGAACTGTCCTGGGTAGGAGAGAGGAAGGACACGGCCCAGCCATGCTGGCTCAAAAACCCAAAAATGTCTCCAAAACCAGCATAAAGACCTCGCCTTGGTAGGCACCAGAGAGACTTGTGTTGACTCATCTGTGCGGTTGCTTTGAAGGGTGTGGGTGCACCATGTAGCTGGTATCCATTAGCTGTTTGTCAGAGACTATTGTAGGCCATGCTAGCCTCAAACTCACTATGTAGCCAAGGATAACCTTCAACTTTGATCCATCTGCCTCCACATCGTAAGTATTGGGATAATAGGGGTGTACCACCACAATTGGCATCCATGTTACTCTCTGATGTGTGTGTGTGTGTATGTGTGCTCATGCGTGAGTTGGGATGTGGGTGCCATGCCATATGTGTGAACATCGATGGACAACTTGCAGGAGCTGGTTCTAACCTTCCACCGTATGGATCTTGAGCATCAAACTCTCAGTTCATTGGGCTTGGTGGCAGCATCTTTACTTGCTGATGCTTCACAGTAGCCTGTGACATTTGTTTGTTTGTTTAATTCAGGGTCTTATATATCCCTGACTGGCCCTTCACTCACTGTGTAGCCAAGACCTTTGGATCCTCTTGTCTTTATCCCCCTCGTGCTGGGATTACAGGCATGCTTCACCAAACCTGTCTTATTTGGTTCTGGGGATTGAACCGGAGCTTGTTGCGTGCTCCTCGAGCAGTCTACCAATCGATCTACGTCTCCAGCCCAGCACTGTGGTTTCTTTTTTAATGCCTGTGTGGTGTTGCGATCCTGCATATGCGTGTGGGACTGTTTAGCACAGCAATTCCAGAAGAGTGTGTGTGCGCGCGCGCGTGCCTGCTGTGTGTGTCTGCGTGGGAGACTGTGAGTCTGCAGGTTCCTGCGTGGGAGGGTGTGTCTGTTCTGTTTCGTCTCTGTACTTGTCACTCTTCTATCCCTCACCCTTGTTCCTCACAGGCAAGAAAACCTCTTTCAAGTAGTTGCCCTTGCTGTGCCTCCTGCCCTGAATGTCTTTCCTGAGGAAGTTCCTTGGTGGGTAAAGTGATTGGCTAGCATGCACAAAGGCCTGGGTTCCCTCCCCAGCATCACATAACGGGGCATGATGGCATGACCTATAATGCCCTCACTTCCTAGCTGAAGGTGGGAGGGTTAGGAGATCAAGGAAATCTTCAGCTGCGTGCCGAGTTTAAGGCCAGCTGAAGCCACGTGGGACCTTGTCTTGGAAAAAGCCTTTCTCCTCCATGCACTCCATTGCTCAGCGAACTCATACTTCAGATCTCTGTTCAACACTCCTCCAGGAAGCCATTCTTGCCTCCCCCAGTTGGAGAAGGTTCTTCTAAACCTTCCGAAGTCCCCTTGTTCCAGCCTATTTACTCTGTTGAACTCAGACTACCTGTGGGGTTCTCAACATGGGGCACACTTCTCTTCACCTCTCAGTCAAGCACTGTAACTCACATGAACTTTTCATTGGGTTGGAGATTTTAGCTGGGAAAGAGAAAGAGGGAGATCAAAGCAGGGTCTTACTCTATAACCTAGGCTGACCCGGCACTCACTATGTGCCTCAAGCTGGCCTCAAACCTATGGCACTCTTTCTCCCGCAACCTCTCAAATGCTGGGATTACAAGTGTGAGCCTTCAGACCAGGCTTCTCTCAAACCTCAGCATTTATGCACAGGCCCCAAGACTATCTCCTCTTTACAAAGGAAAAAACAGAGAGGGTGATGGCTTGCCCAAGGCCACAGAGTCTCAGGAAAAGTCTGAGCTGGATTTCGAATGTATTAGAACAGATACTGCCTCAAAAAAAAAAAAAAGTAAAATAAGATTCACTATCCTCTGATTTCACTGGCACTGCAGAGGCAGTCAAATAGGAGCTAAGTGCTGGGGACTTAGATTCAGATTCGGACCTTCAGTGAGACTTTTCAGGAGTAAATTCCTGTGAACTTCAGTGTCCTCACCTGTAAATGGACATGAAACAATACCTACTTTCCAGGGTGATTGTTGGCTGTGGCCAGGGTGGAGGTGGGGAAGCACTTACAGAGTCTAGCCTAAGAGGAGTTCAAGAAGCTAGAATTAGGAAGATAGGCAGTAGGAGAGCTCTAAAGGGAGTGAGCAGTGTGGTCTGGAGATGTTGCCAGAGGTCAGACTAGTCATGGATTCTCATCAGAAAGATTTTGGGTGTTCTCCTAAGGGAGTTGGAGCCATGGAAGGCTGGGGCGGCTGCCAGCCTTACAGTGTTCTAGCAAGATGCCTCTGACTGCCATATGGAAGGTAAACTGGAGGAGGGAGGAGGAACGTAAGTAAAGCATCCGAGGAGGCTGAAGCTGTGATCCAGGCAAGGGAAATGAAGACAGCAACCTGAGTGTCATTTAAGAGACTCAGTTGCTGTGGTTGGTTGTGTTTACAACAGGGTCTCACTACCTCGAACTTGAAATTCTGATCCTCTTGCCTCTGAGTACCAAGGGTTCAGATTACAGAGAGATTACATCTTTCAGCCTGGTTTTGTGGTGCTGAGGATGGAGCTCAAGCTCGGAGGATGCTAGACAAGTACTCAACCAACCGAGCTACATCCCTGGTCCTTTAAAAGATAGTGCTGGGGCCTGACATGATGCTGCAAGCCTTCAATTCCAACACTTGGGAGGCAGAGGCAGGTAGATCTCTGTGAGTCCAAGGCCAGCCTGGTCTACACAGCAAGATCCAGGCCAGTCAGGACTTCATAGTGAGACCCTGTCTCAAAAAAATAAAAATTATTTTAAAAATGTTTTTGTTGAGCCCAGAACAAACACGACACAACTGATACTTGCCCGAGACTTGAAAAACCGGGACGCCCTGTTAATAATCCAGAAAGGCTGATTTGCAAAGTTCAAGCTTTATTTGGTTTCCCTGAGGAACTACACATTTTCCAGAAGGGTCACAGGGGCGACAGGAGGGAGACTTGTTCAAGGTCACAAGAGTAACAGGCAGCACCCAACTCCGGAACAGGTTCCCGGTTGGACAGGGTGCTGCCATGAAAGCAGCCCCACCCGCCGATGGCTTCGCAACTCTGTCACCAAGTCTAAACGAATCCTGGGTCTCTAAGACCCAAGAAACTTCTGCTGCCTCAGAACTAACTTTGGAAGCAGGCGCCCTCCCAGCCATCCACCCCCAACCCCAGCACTCCCTCCCTCCGCTTTCTGATTGGCTCCTTCTAGGAGGGGCGTCTAGATACCCTCTGGTCACCTTGTCCTCCCCGCGCTCTCCGGCGGGGGAGGTGGCGGGGGGGGGGGGCGCTGCGCAGGCGCGTCAGGAGTGCCTTTGGGGCCCGCGCTTTACGACACTTGTGCGGCAGCGGCGGCGGTCACTCGGCGCTCCTTCGCGACGGTTCGGCCTGGTGCCGCGAGCGGCCGTTGCCAGGGTGGGGGTCGCTTTGCGGCATGGCGATGGCGGAGGGCGAGCGGACTGAGTGTGCCGAGCACCCCCGGGACGAACCCCCGGCCGATGGCTCTCTGAAGCGGGCAGAGGAGCTCAAGACACAAGCCAACGACTACTTCAAAGGTGCGTCCGGCCCGGACGGGGCTGAGGGAGGGTGGACAGCGGCCCAGGCCGTGGGGGGGTGCCAGGCCCCGCGGGGAACCATGGCAACGCGGAGCGGTAGCCTGAGCGCCGGGCAGGCACTGCCGAGTAGCCTGGTGCGAGGAGGAGGCTCAGGATGGACGCCAGACAGGGGAGAGCTACAGAGAAGTGGAGTACGGAGCAGAAGCTACTCACTGGGGAGACTGAGGCAGGCTCTGCTAAACGATAGGGGACAAGCGGGGAACCGACATGTGAGTACTGCCAAATGTGAGACCTGGACAGAGGTGCTAGGTGGAGGTCAGACCTGAAGAGGGCGCTACCAAATAGTGACATGTGTTTAGGGCAGTGATGGCGCTTGCCGAGCAGGGAGACCTGAGGTGACCGACCGAGGAGGGAAGGCCCGACAGAGAAGGGAACTGTGGGCATGGAAATAGATAATTAGACTGGAAGGCGATTTGAGGTGATCCGAGGAAAAGAGTAGGGAGTAGAGGTGGAGCGGGAAAGAATCTTCGCCCAAGCGTGATCTTGGGTTAAGCGTGAGGTATAGGAACATGTGTCCGTTCATTCATCCCTTCAGTACATTTGCATTAAATGTCGTGTGCCACGGTCTGGGCTTGGCTCGGAGGCTGTAGCAATGAATGAGACACAAGACTTGGGTTTAAGCAAAACCAGTAATTGCTAACTTGTGATGAGCACTTTGGATCGAGGTGACAAAGTGGGAATGCACGTTAGAGTCTGCTTTAGAGAGTGGGGTCAGGGAATGCCTAAAGGGAAGACCCTGAGGTGGAGAATGAATGAAAACAGACTGGTTTAGTTGGAGCTTGAGCCAGCTGGGGGTGGGAGAGGAAGGCTGATACAAGATGAGATTAGGATAAGAGGCCCGAGCAGGCAAAGTCGCCGAAGCTTTTACGAAGACTAGTTTGGATTTCCTCAGCTGTCCAAAAAAAGACATTGAGTAGGTAGATGGGCCAGTCTGGACTGGAGAAAAGTTTGGGTGTGACCAGCCTATGGTTGGAGGTTCCCGGGAAATGGATGAAGTCACCATAGTGGGATCTAGAAAGAACCTAGAATGGAATTTTCATGTTTAAAACGGAAAAGGAGCTGCTGAGGAAGTGAGATGGAAGGGAAACCAGGAAAGGTGCCACAGGCTCAGAGAAGAATATTCTTCCAGAAAGAAAGCCACAGGCCTGGTCACCTAGCCCCAGGCATTGACCGGCAGAGGTCTGGTGGTAATGTTGACAGAGCAGTTGTGAATGAGAAAGCCAGCCCAGAAGAGCCTGGCAGGTGAATGCTGCCAGTGAGGAACTGGGCTCCCACAGGGCAAGTGTCTCAGTTCTTAAGGGAAGTGGGGAAGTGGGGGCAGGTAGCAAGAGGGAGAAGGTGGGGTCCCTAGGAATGCTATTCCAAATGTGACCCCCCCAAAAGGTTTAGACCTAGCGAGGCAGATCTGCTAGAGGTGGGGGAGGGTGAGAAAGATCTAGAATCCTAGACAAAGGGGGCCCCCGTGGGGTAAGTCCAGACATTATGGTTTGTACCCGTCATCCCAGCTCTGGGAAGGCTGAGGCAGGAGAATTTTGAGTTGAGTGGCAGTCTGGAATACATAGCAAGACTGTCTCCAAGTGAGAGGGAGTTGAAGTGGGAACAGTGGGTAGAGCCTTATAGGCCAGGTGGGTTTATAGATTCGTCCTCAGGGTAGGAGATATGGTTTTAAGAGAGTGGGCCACTTGGCTCTGGGTACAGGAACTGGTGCTCTCTACTGTGCTGAGAAAGGATTCGGAGGCCTGACTGAAGAGAGGAGGTTGGAAGGGAGGACAGGTGAGGGGGTGGAGCCTCTGACCATGCTTGTGGGAGGAAATGAGGCTGGCTGCCTGGAGAGGGGGAGGGTAGCCCTTGGCCAAGACCCAAAGGTGAGTGGGGCCAGAGTGGAGGTGGTTGAAAGCTGAGGCTCTGAAGAACTAAAGCTGGTTCGGATTTGTGCCTTCTACACACTTGGGGGCAGGAAGTGAGAGCCAAATAGGACTGACTGCTGGGGAGGGCAGAGTTTAGTGTGGGGTGGGGCTGCTAGAATGGGAGGGGAGTTAATGGGTGTGAGAGATGCTGTCGGGACAGTACACAGAGCTTGCAGGGCTTTGAAGGCTTGGAGGCTACCAGCACCAGGTGACCAGGCCCAGCTGTGAAATGGTTGGACCTAACGGCCTTCCTTTACTGGGTCCTGTAAGAAGCAACCAGAAACTGGGCTGCTGCTTAGGGAAAGGGAAGGAGTAGTCATGGGGAGGGACTCTTCACCCTACCCCCACCTCTCAGATCCCAAGATTCAGGCTCTCAGGAACCTGGAGCAGGGCAGGCAGCCAGAGGGGCCTGGCCAAGAACTGGCTTGAAGGAATAGTACCCTTCCTGGTCCAGGCCTCCCACTCCTGTGGGCAGGCAATGGCAAGCTCAGAACCCCAGGCTCAGGCTACAATAATAACCAATAAAAAGAATAATTGCAACTGGCTTTCATTGTGCCCCAGTGGTGGCCAGGTACTCCTGAGCCTAACTGCCTGGGGCATGGGGGTGGTGGTTTAAATAGAGGAAGCCGACTCAGAGGGAAACTTGTTGCCCAAGGTCAGAGTGAGTGAGCAGAAGGCGGATATCCCCTTCCTCCCCACGTGTTCGACTCATCTAGCCTTAGTGGAAAGCAGGGGGTACTCTGTGGAGGATGGGGGAGTCTCGGGGACTCAGAAGGCCTACCTCCAACCATAGAGGGTCCCTCTGTGAGCTCAGCCCTACGGTAAAGCGGGGGACAGAGCCTAGTTCCCAGCTCAGGAAGCTTCTGCTTTTTCCCTTTCTCCCTGAGGAAGGAGGCTGTGCTCACCCAGGGGTCATCGTGGTTCAGTGTGCTCCTCTGTGAACCAGATGGGCAATTGAACCTCAGTATACCTGGAGGGACATAGTGCTGCAGCTGAAGGAAGGCCCCAGGCTGGAGTGTGACAGCTGGTGGACACCTTCAAGGTTGTTCCTGTACTCTTTCTTCCTTCCTCCATTTGACTGTGTGTCAGGCTGAGCCCAGCCTGGTTCTCGGGTGCAGACAAGTGGTCTGAGGGGCTAAAGCTCCAGCCAGTGACTCTCTCTGCACTTTTGTGTTAGGAATCTACACCACTAGGTGCCAGACTGCACACCCTGTGCCACTAGATAAAGTCCCACCCCACAACTGAGTACTAACCAATCAGCAGCCTCTGGAGCCCAACCAGAACACCAAGGAAGCCCTCAGAGGCACTGACATTCCCGGGAGGGACCCTCTGAACTACGCTGCCCTCTTCATCTTCCTGCCTTGGTGGCGTCTGGGAAGTCTAGGAAAGGCACAGAGTGGCAGGACTGGGACAGGGAAGCTGGGGGCAGGGTATTGCCTCACCCAGACCGGAGGTCAAATGGAGCTTCCTGAGGAGACATTTGGACCTTGTGACAGAAGTCCAGGAAGGACCGCTGAGCTGCACCCCTAGGCCTGCCTCTCTCTGCCCTCAGTCCCCGCCTTCCTTCCTTCTTTCTTCCTCTCTCCTTGGCCAGTTGCTTCCTTCCCCTTTCGTGGAGGACTTGGATCAGGCCCTTAGGCTGTCTGGGCCCTGAGCGCTTTGTCACAGTTGTCTGGGGTCAGATCTGGCTCCTTGATACACCAATAGTCCCTGGAGGGCGCGTCCCAGACTAGGCAGCAGCTTGGGGGAAGGGGCTGGACACCATCCTTAAGATGTGGGTTGAGCAAATAACACAGAGTCTGAGTGCTCTGAGGGCCAGGAAGTGGGGTAGAGCAGGAACTCCCACTCCAGGTTGAAAGCTCTTGGGTGGAAACTGAAGTTCAAGGACAGAGAGGGTGTTTTAAGTTGTCGGAGTACACCCAGCCTTAAAAGAGGAGAGCCAGGCCACCTTCCCATTGACTGAGCCTGGTGCTGTCCCAGGCTCTCACCAGGGCACATGGGGGTGCAGGAGAGAGAATGGAGAGACTGCCACTTCTGCCTGCCTAAGAACTCCCTTTTGCCACTTGCCATGTGACCTCAAGCATAGGCTTTCCTTCTCTGAACTTGAGCAGCCTTCATCTAGAAAAGGGCTAATGTGGCTTTCTCCCTCAGTGCTATGAGGCCTCTGTTGCATTCCAGTCCTCTGGCCAGGGCAGGTCTTAGACTGCTGAAGGTCTTCGTTCTGTTGTTTGTTTAATAAACCCTCTGATGGAGGGGGTCAGGCCTACCTGCCTGCACCGACTGGGACTCTGACCTTGAACTAGACTTCTCTGGCTTGGTCAGGTGACTGCCAGGTAGTGCTTCAGCTGTGGAGGTGGGAGGACCCCTCAGGTTGGGGAGAGCTCAGGGCCCAGCTGGGGCTCAATTCACGGAAAGTCTGACCTTTTGCCCTTGGCTGGGAGTTACCCTTGTCGGTCCACACTTAGAGCCCCACTGCTCCTGCTGCACCAGGTGGTCTCAGTCCTCCTTGCAGCCTCAGGAGCTTCTTCCCTTTGTCCTCCCATTCTCTCCATCTCTGGACCTGCCTGCTTGTGCCATCTGGGCAGTCACAGGCTCAGGCAGTCTCAATTTGCCTGGCGCTGGCACCCTGACGTGTCCCTGTAGTCCTGGGGAGACTTGGAAAGCTTCCTGGAGCCCTAAAAGTAGCGCCCAACCTGGGCTTTGCTAGGCTGCTATAGAATTGGTTCAGGTTCTGGAAACTAGTCTGAACCTCAAGACTTAGTCTATATATAGTCAGATATCGGGGACAGGGAGAAGGGACAGATTCCGTGCTGAACCCCAGTCTTTTGTAACAAGGACCACCAGCCTAGGGTGGATTCCTGCCTGTGGCAACAGGGCTTCATGCCTCCTTCTCCTCCTCCACAGCCAAGGACTACGAGAACGCCATCAAGTTCTACAGTCAGGCCATCGAGTTGAACCCCAGCAATGCCATCTACTATGGCAACCGCAGCCTGGCCTACCTGCGCACAGAGTGCTACGGCTACGCATTGGGCGATGCAACTCGGGCCATCGAACTTGACAAGAAGTACATCAAAGGCTACTACCGCCGGGCAGCCAGCAACATGGCACTGGGCAAGTTCCGAGCTGCCCTACGTGACTACGAGACGGTGAGCCAGGCCTCGGGCATGGGCCAGCTCCCGGCACCTTAGCCAGGTGGATGTGGGGGGGAGCCCCAGGGACAGGGAGGAGCCATTGTGTGTCTCCTCTATACAAGGGCTCACCCAGAGAATGGCCATGAGGCCTCTAGCCAGTTCCTGTTCCACCTCTCGGCCTTTATGCACTCTGTGACCCTGGGCAAGTCACCTAGCTTCTCTACCTTTCTTTGCCCCCTGTGTGTTGAGAACAGGCCCAGCCTCAGGTGGCTGCAGGAGAGTTTTTACTGTGTACATGCTTGGAGCAGTGCGGGCACATAGTCTGTGGTCAATAATAGCTCAGCCTTGTGACTACTGTGGCTGTTATTAGTGGTGGTGATTAGTAATGGTGGCAGTTATTAGCAAGGGCTATGCAGGTCTTTGACAGCTTGAGATTCTGTGGCAGGTGGGAGCCCTGTGTCACTGAGCAGGCAAGGAAAATGACTGCAGGTACAGAGTAGCGCTTCCAAGAAAATAGAGCAGGGTGACACACTATAGAGGGACAGCCTCCAGGGACAATGAGAGAAGGGACCTAGATGACGGTTCCTCGTCCACCACTGCCCACAGGTCATGTGCTCTGACAGTCATCATGACAGCGGTAGGGACTGCCAGAGCATCTGCTTGGTACAGGTGTGCTCTGTGCCCTTCATACAGACTGACTGCTGAGTCAGTGTAGGCACTCAGAGTGGGAAGGAGATTGCCCCTGTCACACAGGTGAGGAAGCTGAGGCCCCAGCTGGTAAGTGCCAGTGCTGGGATTGAAGCCAGTGTAACCCTTGACTGCATCTCTCCTCCTCCAGACAGCTCCCGCTCAGGGGCTCTGAGTACAGAATGGATCACTACCTACCTTGCTGTGGACTCTTTCTGTTGTGTGCACAGGGCCCCAAGAGGCTGAGGAGCTATTCCTGCAGCAAGAGGGATCTGGTCCCTCAGCCTGGCCTAGAGTCAGACCAAGTAAAGACTTAGGCCAAGGTCAAGGGACACTTAGCAAAGGGCAAAAATGTGAAAGGTACTGAAGGATAACCATGGAGGAGGGAAGCAAAGCATGGTCCCTGTCCCCACCTTTGTCCCTTGATGTCCTAGTCTGGAATACAGTAACAAGAGCAGTGGCCACCACCTGAACAGCTGGAGCTCTGTTCCAGTGGATAATAAAGGTCACTGGGGCCAGAGGGCTAAGTAAATGAATAAATAACCTCGGACAGGCAGGGTCCTCACGGGAGAACAAGACCAGGGCAGGGTCTTTACCGCTCTGGGCTCACAGAAACATCTTTACTTGGGAGTAAGGAATAGGTTCTTTTGTGAGTGCTCCCAAGGTTGGCATCTAACTCTGCATTCTCCATGAGACTGGGGGATGGTGGGCAACTGCATCAAGCTGTACTCCAGGCTCTGTGAATGCCACAGTGATGGGAGAAGTCCATAGCCGTCTGCAGAACCAGCTTGAGGTAGAGCCACACACCCAGTCAGCGCCAGGAAACCCCAGCAGGAACCCAGGATCCTTTCCCTTCAAACCTGAGAAGCTGGTCTTATGGCAGCTTCTGACCCAAAACTTCCTCCTGGAAGATGCTGGCATTCATGAAGGACATACCCAGGCCCTGGCCTGTGGGTCGGCCTTGATTGGAACAAATGAACCCATGGCTCTGCATCTCCCGCCATTTTCAACCTCAGTATGCACATGGAGGGCTCAGTACAGCTGTGAGCATTGTGTATGTGTGAATCTACCCCTGAGTAGAAAGGAGACACCCATCTCCAAGGTCACGTGGAAGGAATGAGCTGAGACTGGACCCAGCTCCATAGCTGAGCCAGGAGCACTGTCTGCAGTCAGCTCTCCATCTCCAGCAGAAGAGAGGGCAGCTCCTTCTGTAAAAAGCCTTGTTAACGTGCATGAGCATAGATGCTCTCCACTGCCTCCAGCATCTGTTTCTTCCTATGGGCTAGAGTCAGGTGTGCAGCCACTGGAGCACAATGTGAAGGCACAGGCTCCAAGATCTGGATGTCTAGGTTGGTGGCCAGCTCAGCTCAGACCAAGGTATGTGACTTCAAATTCCTTGGGCTTCACCTGTAACCAGGGAACACATAGGCCTACATTGGCAATGTCATTGTGAGGGTTGAACAAGTGGGTAAATATGGAGAGGGCCTACCTTTGGCTCTGCATCAGCCATGTTCTCCAGGGTTCCTCAGTAGGCAGCCCACGGTGAAATGGGCCTCCATCCCCGCTTTATGCCTGTGCCAGAACATTGCAGAGCACGAGGACCTGGGTGTGTCTTTGTTTGCTCTCCCACTTGGGGGCACATTGGACTCTTAGTAGCAGTCAATCTCCTTTACCACACTTCCCCCTCTTCTCCCCGCTAGCCCTTCCACGTGGGCCCACCCCTTCCTGGGTCACATCTCAATTGGTTCTCACTGTTCTTTCCTATGCACTTGGAACAGTCAGCCTAGCAGACCTAGACCAGCCCTGGAGGGGGAGGCGCAGTGGTCTTCCACCACTCTCTACCCTGACTAAGGGTCCTGTGGGATTTTTTTGGTTGATGATAGACTTTACCTTTGTGTTTCTTAGAAACACATTTTGATGCCCTTGATAGAGTGATACAAAAGAAACAGGAACAATCAGAGTTAGTCTTTAGCTCAGCACTCACATGCCAGCAACCTTCAGGCCATGAAAGTCATTTCTTCTCCATGGTCCCCTGCACAGCAGAAACCACTGTTATCCCTGATTTACAGATGCAGAAACTGAAGTTGAGAGGTAAGGCAGGTCACTCCCCTGCAGTCTCTCAGGAATTCCAGAAGGTGGTAGCCTATCCTGAGTCAGGCTCCTAACCAGGGCATAAGTGCAAGTTCCTGGCACCATGCTGGCCCCTGGGCTATTAGCACTGGCGATATCCCCGCCTGCTGCATCTAGCAGGTGCTGGGGGTGTTGTGGTAGATTCACTCACAGAGAAAAGGTGTGTTGTATATAAGGCTGTCCCTAATGGACTACCTGACGTACTAGCTCTACTATGTGATGCACCATCTGGTTCCTCCGGGCCAAATCTCATTGTCTATGCAGGTAAACCATAATGCCCTTTGTTGGTTCTTGCTGGTCTGTATCCATTGTACTCAGTTCTGATAAGTATGGGCGCTTTGCTTGGTATCCACAGCAGGCCTGAATGACTGAAGCTCTAGATTGCTCCCAGGTGGGGGGACTGCCAGCCTCATTGCCAGTAGAGCCTTATGGGTAATAGTGGAGCTGCCTTGAGTCTGCTGTGGGTGTCATGATGGAGTATATTATGCCTCAATAGCTTCTGCAATCCTAGTAAGTCCAAGTTCCCAAACATGTGTCCCAGGGCTTATAGTAGTGACTGCCAGTGAGCCTGACAGCTGACAGTGCCATTTGTTGTGTTTTTGTCGATGCTGAGGAAACTTGGGGCTCTGCAAGCACTTTACAGCTGAACCATGCCCTCAGTCCCTCACTGGGGGATTCTAGGCAGGGGCTCTACCACTGAGCCACGTTCCCATTCTGTTCATTCTGGGGTTTTTTGTTTGGTTTTGGTTTTTCAAGACAGGGTTTCTCTGTGTAGCTATGGACTCTGTCCTGGAACTTGCTCTGTAGACCAGGTTGACCTCGAACTCACAGAGATCAGCCTGCCTCTGCCTCAGAGGCTTGCATCACCACCACCCAGCCTATTCTTTGCCTTTATAAAGCCCCTAGTCCTTTCAAGGGAGCCTAGCCTCACAACCTCATCTAGTTCTAATTACTTCACAAACATCAAGTGCTGTGCCACAGAGCCTAACCTTAGTCCCTGAAGAAGGCAGCTTTTAAAGACATCTCATTTCTTGAGAAGTGTGGTTGATGACATGCACCTGCCCTATCCCTGTTTCCCCGTGCAGGGTCTGCTTGAACCACATGAACATCACAGGGCATTGCCACAGTTGCAGTCCACATAGAATCGTTTGTTTGTTGCTTGGTTTTGCCTTTTGAGAAAGTAACTGTGACACTCAGGCTGTCCTTGAACTCCTAGGATAAAGCCATTCTCCTACCTGGGCTTCCAGAATCCCTGGAATACTGGGCACATTACTGTACCTGGCTTCAGATGCCACTTTTTAAAGACATGTCCATGGGCCAGGTGTGGTGATGCATGCCTTTAATCCCAGCACTTGAGAGACAGAAGTTAGAGGCTAGCAAATCTCTATGAGTTCAAGGCCTGCCTGGGCAACGTAGTCTCAAAAAAAGGAGGAAAAAAAGGAACGAGATGTCTAGTGTGGCATCTAGTTCTGATGGGATGGGTCTCAGGCCCCGAAGAGCCCTGTAGTGTAAAACTGTACCTTTCCTCAGGAGAGGAGCTCTTTTTGTCGGTCATACCTAGCAATCTTTTCAACTGCTGCTGCTGCTGGATCTGGGGTAGTACAGTCTCACACCAGACTTCTGTGGGGTCCTAGCACCACACCCTACTTTCTAGAAACTGGGAGTCTTGATTGAGCAGGACACATGCCCTGAAGGCCAGAACCCAGAGCCTGGAGAACTATACTCTGCCTCTGTCCTGGGGGCGGCAGGAGGGAAGCACTAGGCTTCATGTGAGTGGTGACACAAACTAATCCAGGAGTACAAAGAACCTTGACTTTTGGGGTTAATAACTTTACCACTCTGTGTATTGGGAATTGTGCTGGCCAGCCCATCGAGCTATACAGAGGATACTGTGAACCAGGGTCGTTCACCATAACGGCAGCACCCAGCCCATCTTTCTTCTTAGCATGCAGCTCACCTGAAGATGGGTATGGCTCCTGGGATGTGTTTGCCACTCTTTCTTCCTTTACGAGGCGTTCATTCTCTGCTGAGGACACAGCTCTGTCCCTCCAGTGCCACTTCAAATGGGAAGACATTGTCCTTGGCCTTCTGGAGGCTTCATGAGGAAGAGGAGCAGAAAGGAGGTTAAAATTAGGAATGAAATGTGTGGACAAGGGCAGTGTGACCAAAAGCCTGAGTTAGGGAGAGGCAGTACCAGGCCACAGAGAAATAGGGTGGGTCTTGAGGGCCAGGCTTGAAGCCATGTAGACTTTATCCTGGGGAGCAGAGGGAACCTGGCCTTTCTGCCTCTCCCTGGGAAGGGCTCCAAGGGCTGCCTAAAACTGGCAGCTCTTAAGCTTGATGCCACACCCACACCCCAGTGGAGCTGTCTGGCAGGTGACCCAGTCTGAGCCTGCCCAGCCTGCTGTTGGCCAAGCACCTGCAGGGAGTAGCAGTTGTCTTGCCCAGGTTCTGACTCACTCAGCCAGCTTTGGGGCTGGGGGAAGCATTCTGAGGACCTGCCCTAGGACTTCCTTCTTTAATAGCACAGAAGCTGTAGAGGGCCCAATCTTGGGTTGTATAGGTCAACAGGTATGTGACAAAACTTTTCGGGAGCACACATATCTACTTACCCCAGATAGGGATCCCACAACAGACCGTACCTCCACAGTCCAACTTGGGGAACCAGTGAGTTTTATCGGGGATAACAGGAGTGTGGGTGAGGGAGGAGGAGAAATGACTCAATGACAGCTGTATCACCAAAGCCAACCCTAGCATGGGTGACAGCTCACAAAGCTGGGGACCTGCAGCACACTGTACAGCCTGCAGGCAGGTCAGCATGTTGCTGAGTGTCCTTTCCAGATGCCTCAGTTGGTCTAAACCTCTTGCAAGCACCTTGTCTGATTTCTGTTTCTTCTAGGCAGCTGGTCTGGTCTCAGAGTCTTCCTTGTGGCTTGGCTACTTTTAGCAGTCTTTATTGCTTACTCTGGCAGGGAGGGGCCTAGTAAATCTGGTTGGTTTCAGGGACTTCCTAAAGTCATTTGGGGGTGTTTACCAGTCTGCTTAAAAAAAGAGCTTCCCAAAAAAATAAAAATAAATAAAAATAAAAAGAGCTTCCCTGTAGGATGGAACAGTCCAATCTTAGGAAACTATTAAACAACAGCAGGTCAGGCTGAGTCTGATTACAATTATGGTAGCCAAGATAAGACTCAGAGATGAAGTCTGTTGACCAGGGTCTCACTCTGTAGCCCAGGCTAGCCTGGTACTAACAGCTGTCCTCCTTCCACCTCCTAAGTTCAGGGATGGCAGACATGTACACCTGACCCAGCTCTGTCTGTGTCTGAGCTCCTGGGATCTGGGTTTGCGGGAAGCAGGACAGAGCAGTATAGGCAGGCTCCCTTTAGTGCTGTGACCCAAAGCTGCCTCTGCACAACTCACTGTGTTAGATCTTTTAAAGGTGCTCCCTTGTTCATTTTTACAGCTCTCTCTGAGGTGACACTGGTAACCCAGAGAGGAAACTGAGGCCAGCTCACCCACTGCAGGCTCCCCTATCATCACTGGCTAAGCTGGGACTTGAACTGTGTCTCTCCTCTCCCATTACCAGAGGAAACAGCAATTAGAGCCTCAGTTTCCCATAAAGCCCCAGGGGAAACAAACTGCTTACTGCCACTGGCACAGTCCCCCTTGTGTGCCAAGGCCCTCAGTCCTTCCAACAAACCCCCACTTTATACTAGGGGATATTAAGGTGTTAGAAATCCATGCTGCTCTAAGACTAGCCCCTTATCTGCCCACTGGCAGTGCTGGGAGCCTGTTTGGTTTTAACAGGGTCAGAGTTGTTTAGTGAGGGCACAATGCCCTGGTCTCTAAAACCACCCTGTGGGGCAGTTCAGTGTACCTTATGTGGGGATGTAAAAACTGAGTCCTAGGTGACAGGTCCAGGGTGGCCCCGCTAGCATGTGGTAACCCTTGGGTAGTCTAACTCTGTCCTTTCTTCAGCCCCGTGCTGTCCAGGCAGTTGTAGTGACCCTGGTGGCTCACCGGCTAGGTGGCTGGCCCTCCAGTGTGACCCCTCTTCACTCCCTCTTCCTGGCCAGGTGGTGAAAGTGAAGCCTAATGACAAGGACGCCAAGATGAAGTACCAGGAGTGCAGCAAGATTGTGAAGCAGAAGGCCTTCGAGCGCGCCATCGCAGGCGACGAGCACAGGCGCTCCGTCGTGGACTCTCTGGACATCGAGAGCATGAGTGAGTGGCCTGGCCATACACCACACCCACATACTCTTCTCTGCCACACTTGGTGGGTAAAGGGGGGTTCCAGAGGACGGTGGGGGATGTAGGTAGGTGTCACCAGAGCTGCTTGCTGCCTGCCTTCCGTAGCCCTCTCCCCTCCATTTTAATTATAAGAGTGGGAACCCTAGATTAAGGTTGGGGTGGCTCAGGATTTTTCTTTTGTCACAGCCTAACAGATGCCCTGCTCTAGTCCATTCCCCTCCAGTTAGGCTCAGTCAGGGTCCATGGTGCCAAACCATGTCTTGTGAGTGACATGGCCTTAATCACTGTCATCCCTGGCTTTCCCTACTGAGTGTGGGCACTATCTGCTCCCACTGGGTCCTGAGGAATTCAAGCAGAAGGTTTGTTTGTTTGTTTGTTTGTTTGTTTGTTTGTTTGTTTATTGCTTTATTTTTTGATATTTATTGCGCTCTACATTTTTCTCTGCTCCCTTCCCTGCCTCTCCCCTCCCCTCTTCAATCCTCCCCCAAGATCCCCACGCTCCCAGTTTACTCAGGAGATCTTGTCTTTTTATACTTTCTACTTCCCATGTAGATTAGATTTATGTAAGTCTCTCTTAGTGTCCGCATTGTTGTCTAAGTTGTCTGGGATTGTGGTTTGTAGGCTGGCTTTCTTTGCTTTATGTTTAAAAACTACCTATGAGCCGGGCGGTGGTGGCGCACGCCTTTAATCCCAGCACTAGGGAGGCAGAGGCAGGTGGATCTCTGTGAGTTCGAGACCAGCCTAGTCTATAGAGCTAGTTCAGGACAGGCTTCAAAGCCACGGAGAAACCCTGTCTCGAAAAACCAAAAAAAAAAAAAAAAAA